CCTGGCTGTACATACGTGGATAAGCTGATCAACGTTTTTGCAATTGTAATAGTGGCTACATCATTATAATATGAACACTGGGTTAGTGACTGTTTAATGTGCCATGAGGAAATGTAATAATGTTTCTGCTTGCAGAAGAATGCATCATCTACTTTCTAGATAATTCTGTAGTGAAATGCTTTATTAACAATAGAATTTTAAAATAATATGGAACTTGCACAGAAGTCTTTTCATGTGCCTTACTTTTTTAAAAAGAGTTTATTGTATCATTAGGTATGCAACCCAAGCAATAAGTGAACGGCACAAACGCAGGATGTACTTTTGGCTTTTCAAATCATCGTCCCAGGCCTTACGCCAGTGTTCACCACAGCAGGTGCACTGGCTTCTGGGAGGTCCCAGGGTCCTGGAACACCTTCTAGAATGTTCTCCAGCTCAGCCTGCGAGGCTTTGCTTATGAAAATTCAGAAAGACTCTCCGGCCTCTGATATGGGAGTTAAATTTTACAAAGCTCCTTTTGTCGCATGAACAAACCCGAATCGGTTTTAGTAGTTGTGAATTTCTGTGATTTATAAATGATCTAACCACACTACACTGCCAGTCTCTTCATTATAGATTTCAGACAACACTAGAGCAGCCGGCATAGTCAGCCATTTTCTGTCACTGGCTCACTGTCACCCCACGGCCCTGCCTCCCTGACATCTCCTGGTACAGCCTGAAGTAGACTGACAAGAATAAAGTTGTGCTGTGACTGCGGCTGAGCTGCCTGTCTGCCTCGTCATCCCCAGTGAGGGAGTGAGCTGCTCCAGGGGCCTCGGGCCCAGCACTGCAGCGCCGGGCACCCCGTCTGCCCGTGGGTGTGGGGGGCCAGGGGGAGGTTGCTTCAGAATATGTGGAAAGATGACAAAATAACCCTCAGAAGCGATTCTGTAAGTTATGGGTCTGACTCTCACATGGAGAGTTAGAGCATAGGAGCATGTGCCCATTCTCAAGTACACTCCCCATGTGTGTGCTTGGCGTGTGCACACACACGGACATGTGTGTCAGGTTTGGGCATGTGGCAGTGTGCTGTGCTTCTCAGGCGTGTCCATAGTACCTGTCCAGAGCTCACCCAGTGGCTTCCCGGTGCTAGTCTTGGGACACTGAAATGGTTGGGACTAGCCCAGGGCCGGTTGTGGTGACACCAAGATTCTAGTTTGGGGTGACTGCGCTCAGCACTCTGTTCGCCTGGCCTGCTGTGCTGTGTGCAGAAGGCTGATTATAAACGCCTTCTAGGAAAAGTAAGAGAAGTTATTAATCTAAAGTACGTCATTTCTTGTGACTTCTGCTCTTCTCTCTGGTTTTCCTTCCAGCACATGCTTCGTGCTTTCCTTTTCCTCTTTCCTTTCTTGCCTGCAGACGTGTCTGTAGGGCCAGTGAAAGGCGCTAGGTCTCCACTGGAAGTCCTGTGCTGAGCTGCAGCTGCAGGCCAGGATTCGGATAGGATAGGTCCGACTCCGGACTTGGAGTGCAGCTGACCTTGCTGCGCCTTGGGTGGGGGGAGCTGTAGAGCCTCCTCTTCCCAGGGGCGGTGTGGAAGGCAGGATGGGAAGGACACAGCTTTCCTGGAGTGCAGTGCTGCCAGGTGGGCGAGGGCTGCGTGGACGTAGGGACCAGCTGGTGGCCGCAGACAGGTGGCAAGTTCAGGGCGGTCATCCTGTCCTAAGCTCGTCAGGCCCTGGAGCTCTTCTTTTGCTTAGTGCCAGTGACCATCGGGTCCTCAGAGCTCACAGTGGAAACATTGGTGTAGGCACCTCAGGCCTCTGCCTCTTGGTCAGACAAGGAATGCTCCAGAAAACTCTGTGGCAGGAAGCTTCACCCTTTCTTGTGGTCCAGAACCGACTTTAGCTGGGTGGCAACAAACCCTTCCTGGTTCCTGGGCTTTTCCTGGAGAAAAATGCTCTGTGGGCACATTTCTTTGGTTGTCCTAAAGAGTTTCCTCCTGTGTCTGGTCCTTGGTTTCCTGGGGCTCTCCCCGTCTCTTCTGTGGAAAGGAGCGTTGTCATCCTTCTTGCAGGTTAGCTGTTAGAAAGTTTTTCGGTACTAACCGTTAGGAAGTTGGCCTCAGAAGCAAGAATTCCTGTCCTGTCTTGACTCCTCAGAGCAGGTGTTTTGCTCTTAGGCAGACAGGAGGCTGCATGTCATCTCGGTAGCTGGCATGGGGTGGGGGCTCACCCTTGGGGTGGGGGCATTGGAGCTGCAGGATTTTTCTCCAGGGGTCTCGGGCCAAGCCTGGCACAGTGTGGCTCTGATAGGACCCCTCAGTGGGTGGATCCTCCGCCCATTCGTGTCTTGTCAACGTTGTGCCAGGTTCAGAGGCCCGGATGAGAGATGGGTGAGGTTCATCCTCTCACTGGGGTGCTCGCCACCCCAGGGCTGACCCCTTCAGCAGGCGCAGCATAGGTCGCTGGTTTACCTGAAGTTCGGTTCACAGGCAGGAACCCCTCTGTGGGGCAGGGCACGTTGATGGAGGCAGCTGGGCAGAGGACAGCCACCACCCAGACTCCCTACCACACTCCCCAGGTGTCCCCCTTCCTCCAGCTCAGGAACCATGGCCAGTTTCAGCCTTTTTGCATCTTTTTGCTGCTTCTGTGCGTCGTCCTTTTATGACTGAGGCATTCTGAGCAAGTCCAAGGCCCGTGCTGTGTTTCCCTACCGTGTTCATGGGCATCCGGGGCAGGCCGACGTGTGCCGATGATGCCGGCACGGTGCGCTTTTACGGCAGTTCCGCCTGCGTGAAGGTCCTAGGCCCAGAGCAACTCTGCCCCTCTTCTTCCGTGCCTTGGCTGGTTGGAGATGCCAGGGTCGGCGCCCTGTGCAGTATAAGGGGCCCTGTGGAGTCATTTAACTTGTCCCTGCTGGTTGGGCTGGTGGTTAGTTGCCATCCAGCCTTTCCCAGGGGGTCACACAGGCGGCTATGCTGCTGGGAGTGACGGTGGATCTGGGCGCACGGCCTGGTGCTGGCCATCCTGCCTGCCTGCCACTTGGCCTGACCTGGACGTGTCTACAGGTGATTTGTTGGTCTGCTGCACCCACAGGGGCTGTCTGGTTCCTGAAGTACAGGCACGGGGGCAGGTGTTCCTGTCCTCATTGGATGATGCCATTGTCAGCTCTGGGGGGCTTGAGAAGACGCGGGGAAGGGCTGGGGGATTGGGGAGCGTCTCCATGCTGCCCACCCTGATCCTGCACAGGCCGAGGCACGGTCTCCACCCCGACTTCCTGGGGTGGGCACTTCAAACCCACCTGGTTTGAAGCTGGGGTCCCACTTGTGCGCCAAGCTGCGGCAGGTCAGAGAGGGCCCCCAGGGGGCTTGTCCTGCTGGGCGGGTGTAGCTTGTTTTCCCTGGGAGGCAGAGTAAGCGATTTACGTGGAGGTCAAGGCTCTGTTAGGCTCATTCATGGAATTTCAAAGTCGGGGCTTTTGTCCAAAAGAGGAGAATGGCCTTAGAAAGGGGCATGTAGGTGTGGCCCTCTGGTGAGCGTGCTGGTCTGGCGGGCAGCCTCTTGATTCCTGTGGTCCTGTCATTCTCAGAGAATGGTTTTCTGCCAAGGTTCTTTTTATAGTTCGTTCATCATTTCATTTTATTAGTCTGATTCTGTTTTTGTTTTTCCTACGATAGTACTGATGGCCAGGGAAATTGGAAGTTAATTCCAGGAGTACTGGACTTGCTCTTGTTGTCTGCAAACTGGAAGTCCTGCGTGTCTGTCACTCTCCTCTGTCCTTCTCCCATCTTGGCAGGAGGCCAGCGATGGCTCCTGTTCCCGTGCACACCACACACCTAGGGGCTGTGTCCTCTGCAGGTCAGGGCTCAGCCTGGCTGCTGCCACACCCAGTGCGCGTGGAGGAGGTGGAAATGACTGACTGGCTGGGCGGAGGGGCTGTGTGCAACACCCTGCCGTCTCCTTCCAGCTCCAGTGGGGTGTGGGGGTCTCGTCTTCTGCTCAGCTTGCAGGGAAGGAGAGCCTGAGGTGACTCCATCATCACATGTTTAGGGCCCCTGAACTTAAGTCACTAAACTCCCTGACCACTCTGGAAGGTACTATGTACATGCCTGCATGTTTGAGTCTTATCAGTAAAATGATTAAGTCTTCATATAGGTAATTAACTGTGACATTCACTCAGACAATAGGTGTACATATCCTTGCAATGATTCCAACAAGACTGCAAACCTGTAAAATTATTTTCGCACCTGGATCTTGTCTCCTGAATCAGTCACACAGGTAGTAGGTTGGGGGCAAGGGCGGGGACGGAAGCAGGCGGTTGTGTCCTCATCCGGAGTGGCCTCTAGGCTGGTCCGTGGACATCCAATACATCCACACATCTTCAGAGCCAACCCCTGCTGGAGATGTTTTGGATATTCTGAGTAAATCGGAAGTGGAACCTTAATGCCTGATGACCCTTTGGTGACTTTGGCCTTTGTCAGCCGGACTCCACCCTTGTGCACCGCACTCCTGAGGTCAGGGGCACCGTGTATGTGGGAGTGTCCGCCAGCCCCGGTTCCCTTGTGCCGATGTCTCCTCCAGCTGGAAGCTGTCTGGGGTTCAGCTCTCAGAGCACCCTCAGGTGACGAGTAGCCCAGGGCAGCGAACCGTTCACGACTTTCTCATCTAGATGAACAGGCATAACCACTGGGCTGATGCGGTCAGCGTGGAGTGAGAGGGTGCACCTGAAACGGCCGCAGCTCTCAGGACGGGGATGCTTCCAAGTCACTCCTCCTCCCAGGGAGATGCTGGTCTTTCAGCCGGTTGCTCCGTGGTGGTGCAGATGTAAATTTATTGCAGACTGATGTATTTAGGAAGCACGTCTCCGTTCTCAGAGTGCCTTCAAGTGAATTTGCACTTTTATTCCCACCCAGTCCTGCTCTGTTTGCTGTTGTGAGGCCGTGGGGTCTTGTGAGGGGAGCAGGGGCATCAATGCAGGCGCCCGACCCTGGCCCCTGCTTACACTGGCTTTCCCTCTTCAAGGCTACCGGCTCTCAGACCAATTCCACGACATCCTCATCCGGAAGTTCGACAGACAAGGACGAGGGCAGATTGCCTTTGACGACTTCATCCAGGGCTGCATCGTGCTCCAGGTGACCGGGCAGCGCTGGTGGGCGGGGTGGTGTGCTTGGCCTTCAGTGTAAGGAATCAGCCGGGTGTGGAATTAACTAGTTTTTGGAGCTTATAAAAGTTGATCTCATCCCTGGAGAAGTAACTGGTTAATGGACATGTAAACAGTAGTGTTTTTCTCTCCTTGGAAATATTATTATAGAACATCCCATTCAAGGAGAGGAAGCTTTTATTCAATATCTAACAAGTTAGTTAAATGTATACTACAGTATTAAATATATTGTATTTTTACAAAAATCCTTTATTCTGAGCAAAGGGGCAAGTTTCCGTTGTGGTTGTCACTGTGTGGTTGTCACTTCATGCTGAGGTGAGCTACAGGCCTGGCCCTCAGGCCTCCCCCATGGGGTCAGAGCCCTTCCCGGACACGAGCATCCAGGAGAGGTCATGACTCACGCTGACCCCTGGGGAGAGCCCTGTGCCCAGAGGGTCTCGTTTCCTCAGCAGCTCTGTGGTGTCCGGCTGCTGGTCTCTCTGCTTTGCCACTGGGAAGACAGAGTTGCAGAGAGCTCACAGGATGTGCCCAGAGACCCACTAAGATGGAGACAGGGTTAAGGGGCCCACCCGGCTGTTCCCCCATGGACCCCTGCTGCTTCCAGGTGCATAACCAGGCTCCGTAGATTTAAGCTTCAGACATGTTTTGTAAACCTTTATATCTTTGAGAATTTTTATTGTGACAAATTTCAGACAAAAACAATAGCTGAGACAGTAACAATACACTTGGATTCAACATTATTAACCCTTGTCCAGTAAATTGTAATATCTCCATGTACCTTCATACCCTGCACCACGGTCATTCTGAAGCAGTTCCATTTTATAGAGAGCAAATGTTTGTTCCATAAATACTTAAGTAGAACTTGTTTCATAAGTTCTTCCAGTTTGACTCCAAATTGAAGTCGTATCTTGTCAGCTCTGGGATCCACTGAGATGTGAACAGCATTAGGTTTTTAGATAGAACGTGGAATTTTTGGGAAAATGTTTGTAGTTTTTTTTTTTTTCCTATTTAAAATGATAGTAAAAGTGATTTTTCTCTGATGTGGCTTGGATATGCCAGTCCCTGTTCAGTGATTTGGTGGAGAACCAGGTCTGTTCACCTGGTTCAAACCTCTAAAGCTTCAAACCTCTAAAATGGGGTGAGCTGTATCGGATCGCTGCCTCTCAGGGTTCCTGTAAGGTTGGATTACACTTCTGCAGTGCTCTCTGAGCACTTTAGAAAATGTGGTACAGAGTTGGGTGCTGTGTCTATATGGCTGTGGGGTCGAGATTTCCATGTGAGATTGTCCCATAAGTTAGCGACTGGTCTCATGTGGGCTCTCGGCAGCTGGGGCGATGGTCCTCAGTGCCTGCCAGGGCCGACCCCCCCTTGGGCAGCGCCTCCTCACAGCCCCGCCCCGTCCACGCAGGCGGCCTGACCACTGCCCTGGGTCCACCCCACCCTTGGAGAGTGCCCATGGCCATGAGGAAAAATCTCCTCAGAAATGTTTTCCTCCTTCTGCTTTTTTCCAAAAAGAAAAAGGCTTTTTAAAAATTATATTTTACAAAATAACACGAGAACTTGTAGACATCTTGGAAAAACACAAAATAAAGAAAAATTATGCATTATTTGTAGCCAGAGCTGTCTGCTGCTGCTGTCACTGTAGTTGGTCGTATGCTGGTGCTCACACGTGGGCACATGGGAGGTGGCCACGCCGCCTCGCCAGGCTGAGGAGTCTGGGGGAGGGACCTTTCTCTCAGGTCTGGATGTGAGTGGGCTGTTGTCACAGGGAGTTCCACTGTGCCTGTTTATTCTTGTCATTAAAATTCTTCAGAGCCTTTTACAATTGCTCTGAGTCCATCTGGAGGTGGCACTTGTTTAGCTGTCCCTGTTATGGGGTTTGGATGGCCACCCCGTCTCTGCCTCGGACCTGACCTGGACCCTCAACTGGCAGGAGGGGCAGGCAGCAGGTGGGGCCCCCTCTGCTGTGGGCAGGTTCTGGGAGGAGCCAAGGGGGGCTGCTTTCCCTGTGCCCCACAGGGCCCAGGTGCCCAGTGTAGCAGCCCAGCGTAGCAGTGGAGAGCCGTTGGGGAGGGCCTTCCACGGGATAGCAGAGCAGTGGGAAGGAAGGCCTCGGGCCACCCCCCTCGCTCAGGGAACCAGGGCCTGGGCCAGAGCTTTCCTTTTGGGTTGCGCTGGGCCTTCGTTCTCACCATGCCACGCCTGCAGGCTCTGTCCCCTGGGGGAGAGCCCTGACTGGTGGGGACGGTCAGGGACTCTGTGCTGGTGTCGGAGATGAGGAAGCATGCACGCTTCTGAAACTGGGTCCTGAATGTCTTTTACCCAATGTCTTGTTCCTTCTGCCTTATGTCAAGATCTGAATGCCTGTTTTCTCCCCTAGAGGTTGACGGATATATTCAGACGTTACGACACGGATCAGGATGGCTGGATTCAGGTGTCTTACGAACAGTATCTGTCCATGGTCTTCAGTATCGTACGTTGTCTTTTCGTGAATAACAACAGCAACGGCTTACAGAAAAAGACCCAAAACGCCAAATCTCTTACCTTTAATAGAACGGACATGGACGCAGTTAGATGCTGTTGCTGTCTCCTTCTAAATTTCACCACGTGGGGACCTGGCTGTACATACGTGGATAAGCTGATCAACGTTTTTGCAATTGTAATAGTGGCTACATCATTATAATATGAACACTGGGTTTAGTGACTGTTTAATTGTGCCATGAGGTAAATGTAATAATGTTTCTGCTTGCAGAAGAATGCATCATCTACTTTTCTAGATAATTCGTAGTGAAAAGCTTTATTAACCAATAGAAATTTTAAAATAATATGGAACTTGCACAGAAGTCTTTCATGTGCCTTACTTTTTTAAAAAGGATTTATTGATCATTAGGTATGCAACCCAAGCAATAAAGTGAACGCACAAACGCAGGATGTACTTTTGGCTTTTCAAATCATCGTCCCAGGCCTTACGCCAGTGTTCACCACAGCAGGTGCACTGGCTTCTTGGAGGCCCCAGGGTCCTGGGAACACCTTCTAGAATGTTCTCCACTCCAGCCTGCGAGCTTTGCTTATGAAAATTCAGAAAGACTCTCCCGGCCTTCTGATATGGGAGTTAAATTTTACAAAGCTCCTTTTGCCTGCATGAACAAACCCGAATCGGTTTAGTAGTGGTGAATTTCGTGTGATATAAATGATCTAACCACACTACACTGCCAGTCTCTTCATTATGATTTCAGACAACACTAGAGCAGCCGGCATAGTCAGCCATTCTGTCACTGGCTCACTGTCACCCACGGCCTGCCTCCCTGACATCTCCTGGTACAGCCTGAAGTAGACTGACAAGAATAAAGTGTGCTGTGACTGCGGCTGAGCTGCCTGTCTGCCTCGTCATCCCCAGTGAGGGAGTGAGCTGCTCCAGGGGCCTCGGGCCCAGCACTGCAGCGCCGGGCACCCCGTCTGCCCGTGGGTGTGGGGGGCCAGGGGGAGGGTGTGTGGTCCTCATCGAGGGGCTGTAGCAGAACTGGGTCCCAAGGTCACTTGGCAAAGGGTCTGTGGGGCTGAGACTGGCCTTATGACCTCACACTGATCCTAATGCCCAGATCCACACATCCAAGTGTTCCGCCTCCCCCCATCTCCCGGGCCCCTTTACTGAACATCTTCCATTTGACACCCCAACCTGCCTGAGGCCGTCGGGAGATACTGATTCCTGTACCCCAGCCCGCAGCCTCCATGCTCAGGATGAGGCAGCTGCCCCAGCCTCCCCCAGCCCTCATTGCACCCCTCAGGTCCTCATGTCGGCTCCCTGCGTGGGGCAGGCGGCCCTGCCCTGTGGTCTGCCTCAGCCCAGCTCACCGGCAGCGCCTGGCCCAGGCTCCCTGCGAGCAGTTCTGAGGCGGCTCTCAGAGCAGCCACCACAGCGCTGACGTCTTGGAGAGCAACCTGCCCCCAGGTGCAAGCCAAGTTTACCCCTCGTGGATCGAGTGGGCCTGACAGAGCTGAGGCCAAGAGCCCATTCTCAAGTAGTCAGCACTGGTGAAGGAAGTCTGTAAACGTGTGATTGGCTCTATGTCCCCTGAAGAAAGCAGGTGCAACTAGGGTAGATGGACGCTTTTAGAGAGAAACTCAGATGGTGGCTGGATGGAGGTTTTCCCTTCCTGTTCGCAGGAGGGGCTTTGCTCGCTGGAGATGGTGTGGCAGCACTCCGCAGGTGTGGTACAGAGAGGTGGGACAGAGAGTGTGGCATGGAGGCGGTGTGTACAAGAGGTGTGACAGAGACAGGTGTGTGGCATGGAGGCGGGTGTGTGGTACAGAGAGGTGTGACAGAGACAGGTGTGTGGCATGGAGGCGGGTGTGGTACAGAGGTAGGTGTGCTAGAACAGGTGTGTGCCCACAGCTGCACCTGCTGAGGAGGGGCTGTCCCCCCAAGGCATGGGGGAGGGTGACTTTCAGAAGGTTGGGCCCAGGGCATGGGAGCGGCCTGGAGCCCAAGGTGCCGCCAGTGTGGACAGAGTGAGGAGTGAACTTGGAGCTGCAGGTGTGGGTGAGACTGCGGCCACTGCTCTCCAGAAGGCCTGGGCGGGCAGGTGGGCTTCCAGGGTGTGAGTATGGGGCATGTTGCTGGGGAGGCGGCACCTCCTACCCACCAGCGCTGCCTGGTGCAGACCGTCACTCTCCTGGGCCACCAGGCACCTGGTGAGGTCTTGAGGAAGGAACCTCAGGGCAGAGCCACCCGCAGGTGCCAGCCACTGAGGTGTGCCCTCGGGCCACAGCGTGCCCTGAGCCTCTGCTTGGGGGAGTCACAGGAGCAGAAGACTGACCCTGGCCTCCATGGCGCCAGGGCAGTGAGGGCGGTGCATAGGTGCTGGAAGCTTCTGCCGTGTGCAGCTCCTGGCCCATCCTGCCGCTCAGCCCTCAAGCCCTGCTAGGCCTGCTCAGAGCCGGTTCTGGGGACAGTTGAGTGCAGAGCGGCTGGCAGGGGATGCAGGCCGGCCTGAGTGAGGCTACGTGGAGGAGGCAGGGTCAGTCTGGCAGCTGAGACCGCCCAGCAGGGACACTTAGCCTGCTGCCCAGCCCCTGGTTGGGGGGCCCTGGACACTCACCCCAGGGCAGCAGAATGTGGCCCTCAGGTCCTCCGTGCCTGGACATATGGGGGCTTTTGTCTGGGGTTGGGACACAGGGGGCTCCATCCTCTGGGAGTCCTTCCCTCAACCCCCTTTTGTACCCACATTGTGCTGTTCTGGGCTCTGGGGCCACAGTAGGGCACAAGGTGACGCCCGTGTCTGCTCTGGGGTGGGGACAATCATCCGAACATCAAGTGGTAGGGCCATGGTGGCTGTGGAAGAAGAGTCCTTTTAGGGAAGGAGGTGAGGGCAGCCGGGGCTGGGGCCAAGCTCTCCAGGCACAGAAAGCAGGGCGGGTGGGGCGAGTGTAGGAGCAAGGCTGTGGCTGGGTGGGGGGAGGTCAGAGCTCACAAGCTCTGCAGCCCCACCCCCTGCAGCTGCTCACCTGGTGCGTGGATTCCTGCTGGCTGAGCCCAGAGGGTCTGCTTCAAGTGGGGTGGCCTGTCTCACCAGGTGCTGTATCCCCAGCCTGGCTTCCAGCTGGCTGGGCAGGGCCCCTGGAGGGGGCTGAGGGGGGAGCAGCCAGCACAGCTGCAGGAGCCGCTGCCTCCTCAGGGTCTTCCGGGGCCTTGCAGCTCTTCAGCACCACAGCAGCTGCACAGGAATCTCAGAGCATGACCTCTGACCTCACCCCCACTGACCCACACAGTCCCTGGGAGGCCAGGGGAGGGCTCTTGTGGGTCCCCGTCACATTCGACCTCCTCTCGCCTGAGCTTTCAGTGGTTCTTCCTGTTGGAACTGGGGTGCCGGCGTTGGAAGAAGCCTGGGTTTCTAGGTCCTAAAGTGGAGGGAACAAGACGCCCACAGGGTGGGGGGGTCACTGACTGAGCCGAGGGTGCCGCCCTGGCCCCTGCAGCATCCATGGGTCCAGGGGCCTGCTCTGCCTACGGCTGAGTGCAGGGCCCCCACACTCAATGTCCCTGTATTTGGTAGTGTCCCCCAGATGCCTTCCACAACTCAAGTGTCCCTGCCCAGGGAGCCACAGCTCACTGTCCGCTTTTTCCCCCGCCTGGCACTGCAAGGCTGTAATGCAGTCGTGGCCCCGCCGGCCACACCCAGGGCCTCCTGGCCAGGCACCTGCTGGGGGCCGGCCCCTTCCTGGGCCCTCCTGGAAGGGAGGGTTTGGGGATGGCACCTGGAGCCCCACGGGGAACCTGGGCCCCTCACTGTCACCTGTGCTGGTGCAGCTGGCAGCCCCGCCTGGCCTGTTCTCCCCAACCTGCAGGTATGGAGCTGAGGCCAGCACAGTGGCCGTGTCCCGGGAGCAGGGAGCCCCACCTGGCATCCACACTGCACACCCCTGGAGCAAGCAGGCACCCGATGCAGCGGAGGCTGGGCTTGTGGAGAGGGACGGGCACTCAGTGCCTGGCAGGGAGCTGCCTGGTGGCTTTGTTCAGACTCCCCCAGATCCTGCTCTGTCCTCCCTGAGAAAATGACATGGGAGAGAAAACACAGCCACAAACAAGGGCTGCCCAAGTGGCAGAAGTGAGGTGTGTCTGTTGAGAGGTATCAACACCTTGTGCCACAGCTGTCACGGGGCGAACAGCCTCCAGAGAGCCGCTGGTGCCTGCACGGGGCCCTCGGCCAGCCCAGGGGGCAGCACCCCGGCCGCCTCTGAGGATGGGGCGCTGCATGGCAGACACCTCACTTCTGCCACTTTGCGTACTTATTTTCTTTAACAGATCAGAAGGTACTACATGCTTCTTGAAAAAATATGCAGGAATTACAGACACTTTAAGAAGTAAAAATGAGAAATTACAAGTTCACTCAATCTCAGAGTTATCCAGCCAAACTTTTTCTGTGTATAATTCACTTCACCAAAATTGGATCAAGGGTGGGCGCAGTGGCTCACGTCTGTAATCCCAGCACTTTGGGAGGCTGAGGCCGGGGATCCCTTGAGCCCAGCCATACAAAAAACTAAAAACTGAAAAAAAAAAAAAATTAGCCTGGTGTGGTGGTGCACTCCTATAGTCCCAGCTACTGGGGAGGCTGAGGCAGGAGGATCCCTTGAGCCCAGGAGTGCGAGGTTGCTGTGAGCTGTGACCCTGCCTGGGCTGCACTCCAGCCTGAGCAACAAAGTGAGATACTGTCTCAAAAAAAAAAATATCAAGATGAAACTAATGATTTTATAGCAAGTTAGCAGTACAATGCTTCGCGTCAAAAAATAATACCATTTACTCAGCTGACATTTTTGAGCCTCTGCTATTCATCAGGAACCAACTGACCGTTCCTTGGCTGGAGAGATGAACGGAGAGACCTGGTGACTACCGTGGGACAGCAGGCAGCAAGGACACACCGGCGACGTCTGGGAGCACCACGTGGTGGGGAGGGCGGTGCACAGCGCGGGTCCTCTGGAGGGGCGGGCGGGGCCCTGGAGAGGAGGGTTCGGGCTTGTTCATGCAGGGAACATCAGCGAGGGGGCTTGGGGGGCCTGGGGAGATGAGCTTTTACTGAGAGCCAGGTGGGGGCTGGGAGTGACACCCTTGAATAGACAGACGGTGGGGGCTGGAGCAGTACAGGCTCCCAGAGAGGCTTCGGTGGGGACCTTCGCGGATGCTGAGGTGTGGCTGGGCGACACCGGAAGCCCCAGTGAGGATGGTGGCGCGGGTGAGGCAGACCAGGGGCTGTGCCCCCCAGACGTTGGGTGGAGACCGCAGGATGGGAGGCCAGGCTCAGAGTGGAGGATCTGGTAAGGGGAATGATAGTCAGGACCAGCCTGGCGGGACAGAAGAAGGGAGGGCGAGGAGGTGCAGCGAGAGCAGGACTGCAGGGCGCCCAGGCCCGCGAGGAGCGCACACGGCGTCCCAAGTGCGCTCCGCGCGCCGGTCGGCTCCTGCGCCTCTTGCCGCCAGCAGCGGCCGCCCCAGCCGGGCAGAGACCCTTGTGCGGGCAGAGGGCGGGGAGGACCCACAGGAGGGCAGATGGTCTAGTGGCTCAGGGCGCGACCCCACCCCAGCCATCCGGTGCCCACGGCGCGCAGGTCAGCTGAACAGGAACGCCCAGGGCTGCGCGCACCCGCCATCTGGGACCTTGAAATGTCCTGGACGAGGGACGTCGCACGAACCACCCTTCGTGCCTGGCTCACATCCCGTCCCTGGGAAGCTCAGGGCCAAAAAGTATCACATTAATATTTTGTGTAGTTTGTAAAAACCTTTAGTGATTTTGATTCTCGAGCAGCCCCCACGGAGCAGGCGAGGCGCTATCCCCCGTTTGATCTATTTGGATCAAAACAGGCCCCGCGCACGACCCCAGTCCCACCCCCTCCGGCCCAGTGAGCCCTGGCCCCACACCTAGGCACAGCTGCAGGTGCGCATGTGGGCTCCGCAGGTGGGGAGTGACGTGTGACGCTGGGGTGGGGGCAGATGGTCTAGGGCTCAGGGCGAGACCTCACCCCAGCGGACACTGACCCTGGGGCAACCGCCCCTTCCGACCCAGACCCGAGGGGCCACCGGGACGCGGGGGGCCCGGGCACGATCCCACCCCTTGCCACCCAGACCCCGGGGGGGGGGCACCGGGACGCGGGGGTCGCGGGCAGGACTCCACCTCTTCCCAGATCCTGGGGGCGCGGGGGAACGGACACAACCCCACCCCTTCCCACCCGGATCCTGGGGGCGCGGGCACGACCCCACCCCTTGCCACCCGGACCCAAGGGGCGCGGGCACGACCCCACCCCTTGCCACCCGGACCCAGGGGGCGCGGGCACGACCCCACCCCTTGCCACCCGGATCCTGGGGGCGCGGGCACGACCCCACCCCTTGCCACCCGGACCCAGGGGGCGCGGGCACGACCCCACCCCTTGCCAC